TGATGACGAAAGGGATCTATAAACAACTAATGTGTGAAAACCTTCGCAATTACTAGGAGAAATCTTGTATATACTATGCATATGGTCCAGTTGACATTATCACAAGTACACTTTGCCTTAGATCTTCTTTGTGTAAGTGGCTGGAAACAGTATAGTTTACCAGCTCAGGACAGCAATTCTATGTGTCACACATAAGGGAAAATATGGACAAAACTCGTGTAGGACTCGAATGTAGCTGCTTAGTTCCCTCAAGATCGTTTTGTAACCTACAAATACACCTGGTTAACGTGGATCACAAACACATACCCACCCTGTGCTCGCCTTAGATAACGCATGCGTCTACTTGAGATAAACTTCTACCAATCTTGCTCTCCACATAGTGTCATTTCTTCTGAAGACATAACTACCACATCTAATTTTGATTCCTATGTTCACTCGGCGATGCCCTCCTATTCAGCACGAGTGGTGGTCAGTTGTCATCCAATCTGAAAAGTCAACTTCCCCATTCGAGCACATCTCCCTCTATTGGATTCGATTCGATGCAGCTGCGAACACCCACGTCGTAAGCACGGCCAACTTTTCAGCGCGGACATGTATCAATGTGGCTCTGAAGAAGGCGAGTGTGCCGAAACATTAGTCGAGTAGGAGATTTTTATAGCAACCTCGTGTCAACTCAGTCATATAGGAAATTATTCATCTTTTGATCAGTAACTGACTATAATTTGACTTCCAATTACTGAAATGGATCATGATTTTCGTGTAGAATAAGCTGTTATAAAAAATACAGGAATAGATTCAACAAATAATGCAAAACATTTGCAAATGCTGATTGCAGTATGATTATAACACGGACCGTGGTAGCACATAGTAAATAGTAACGCGAATGCCACTCATCCCCTTGGGTGATAAAATAATGTCTCTTTCATATCCTTAAGACGTTTTCAACTCCTCAAGTCCTCGAGCTGTCGAGCATTTATTGTTCGTATTTGAAAAACCATCACTGTTCGTTATTTGAGGTGTAATCCGACTAACCTCCCAACTGTCTACCGCCACACCATGGCTGCGAGGAGTTCCAGGGTGTTGGGCTACGATGTACGGCAGAGGGTTCATCTCTCTCGCAGGACCTACCAAGCTGAGAAGGAGTCCGCCGTTCTCATCGGGAAGCCTGGTTAAAAGCAAACCAATACAAGGATTCGTCACCATCCTGATGCTAAACTCGTCGCGTGGTGGAAAATCTCATTCTGATCCACAAGGGCGGCGACTGCCCGTAATGGTGATGACCTGGGGCAGACTTTGACTAAACCGACCTCGGGACTACAGGGAACCACAATGGCTTAGTCAGCGAACCTTCGAAAAATGGTGATTATGCTGGAGTCCGCACAACTAGTGAGGACGAGTCATTCAAGTATCCATGTAATTCGACTAAGTTTTATAGCAAGTGCAGCTGCCACAAGATCAGTCGCCGTCCCACGCTTCGGTCACATAAATTTAAAAATAAGCCTGTATTTTAATAAACAAAGTATTTGGATTCGTCTCTTTCTCCTAAATGAGTCGACTACAAATTTATCTTTCTGATTTTATAAACTTCAACCTCGCCAGGCCGCATTGTCAAAGACACAATAGAACCATTCGAAGATTATGTGCTTGCGTTGCCATAATGCTGCTGGATTTTAAGTGAAAACTTAACACACATACGACAATAGGTGCCAAGATTAGGACACTATCTTAATCTGGCAGGTTTTCTACTTGAGCTTCCTGGAACCAATTTTCCGTTGTAAAGGCGAAACCCCAACATGTGGGACTAAGCAACCAGCATATAAGTCATACGAAGTAGAAAGAAAGTAAAACAGCATGAACTGTATGTTGTTCGTACTGCGCGGGATGAAAAATTAGATGTATTCGCATGCTGTAATCACCGAATATCGCGTACACGTTAAGGTGCATAAGTGCTACCTATCTGTACATCTCCTGTTCAGCACTGCCCTATTGAAGCAATGCAAAGCTCGACTGGTGGACTTTCATTCTATTCATTTTGGCGAGCATCTTCTCAATTAACATCCATTGACAGCTCTCCAGGGGTGCGCGCTAAAGATATAGGGCTAATAGGTGAAGCAGTATTGAGCCGCTCGTAACTCAAATAGCAAAAGTTGATAATGCTTAGAAGGATCAAAAATTCCCTTACTAACCGCCCTTAGATTACGTAGATGAGTTACCATCGAGCATTCTTCCACCTCTGGTTGACCGAGAAATTTTGCCAACCCTATTGCAACAATCGTACCCAGGTAGATGAAAAAGAGCATATAGGCTGCGAAAATTGAGATCAAGACGAGAGAGAATGAAGGCTATCAACAAGAAAGGTTATATACATAGAAGTTGCCCCTCACGCTAAGGGGAATACCGTAGATTGGTGGTTTGTCTTTAACCCTTGACCACTTTTTATCAGCCTCGGCAGCAGTATCGAAAGCCTAAAATAAACAAAAAACAATTTCAGTTGCAAAGAATAAAGAACAGCCTACTTCACTTCAACGGACCTCCTTAATGACTTCCATACAACAATTAAGTCTTTCTTGCACTTTCAGTGCTTTCCACACATAGGCCTCTAGAACTTCCACCGCTGTTACTTCATCGCGCTGTAGACGACCTAATAAAGTAGATGAAGCGGACATGGAAAAAGGAACCATGAAAAAATAACCCTTACTGTAATTGTAGAGATAAATAACATGCAGATTAACTAGATTCTCAAAACATTTGATGGCTAAATAATTGTCTATAATTCTTGTATGAATCATGAGAAATCGCAGTTATAGTCAGCAAAGAAGTCAGTGATAAATCATGACAAGGACGATTCGTAGCGTTGCATAGAAAGCCATTTTGGCTTTTTGGTATTTGTCAACAACCACTAGATGCATGTGATGCATTACATATTCTTAGCAAACTGAAACGAACACGTAGTATAACAAGATTATCTCCTGAATGAAAGACCTTTTGATTCCTTCGCATTGGTGTCAAATAGAAATCTTAGGAATCAAAGAAAAAAGAATAACCGCTAGCTCTAACTAAAAGAGTTTTTTAAGGTCGCTTGCCAAGTTCACACCATACTCGATTACTGAACAAAACGCATTGAAAAGGTAAAGATCGGCATTTTCGACGATTTTTGAAAATCTAGTCCATGGAAATTCAGCAAAAAAGGTGACCAGTCGTTGCTTAAATTGACAACTCACTATCAGAAACTCCAAGTATTGTTTACTGTCCTGATATAGTGCTCCTAGATATCGAACTGTGGCATGAACATCGGTGGATTAATTCGCCTGGGTCACCAAGTTTGAAAAGAAATTCTATACTTTCAGCTGAAACCCCACCCAGAAACAAACCAATGCCCAAAAATCCCACTGACTTAATAAAAATGTAGCGAAGAAGAGCAAACCTTTACTGAACAACTTTACTCAATGGAAGCTAGCGACTACCAATAATGACGACGTGGAAATGCTCCTTGACAATGCAAACAGAAAGAAACCAATCAAGGAGCAAGAAACCAGCTTTTGTATGCCATGCAACGGGCTTATAGATCTATAACTATAGTTGGCAGAATAGGCGTGAGATTTGCAAAATTTAGGTTGGAGAGAACACCAGTAATTTCTGACCTAAACACTGCAGACACGCACTAATAACATTAGAGAAGTGCTCGCAGGTCTTCGAAGTATTTTTTTTGCTACAGGAAAGAGTGTGAAGAAGTACAGGAAGATGCGATGCCATGTCTCCTACGTCTCCTTCACAATATCGTTAACGATTTTGCAAGGTACCGAAATAGTTCGCGCTGTGCTGCTCAGCAGCGCAGGTATGTTGGTGACCATGTTGAGTTCCTAACCGAAATAAACACATTTAGAGCATTTGTTGCCAGGCATTTCTTTAAGGGTATTTTATAGATCAGGAGAAAATCGCTGTCTCCATAAAATACGATGTACACTAGTCAGCCTTCATTCATTCCATCGTTTGCTCTACAGCATTTATTCCGCCAATGCTTGGTGTTTGCCAAGGCGATATCACAGCGAGAAAAAGTTGTGTAGTGTTTCTTGGAGCGGATTCATCAATTTGACTGAAAATTTTAGATATTAAGATGTTATGAAATAAGACGTCTATAAACACTCATTTTAAAATCACCAAGGTCTCCTTTTAAGATATACTGAATGCGGAAAACAGTTTAGATTATAAACTTTATTATATCGATACTTTAGTGTGTACCGTGATCATGCGGATCGATCCAGCACATCGAACTTTTTTTGAAATCTTGTCTATTGGCTTTCTACACCGAATGTCTTGGCAATCCCATTAATGGGTAATCGAGCAAAGAACGTGCGTACAACGCAGCAATCAGATTGCGCAACAAACATCGATATCAAAAGCCCTCGCTTTTGTAGAACATACTCTGCTAGGTACTCATCAACTAACTACCTCTGATTTTGCTATATAGTGTGTACAGAGCCGAGCCAGTATGTTTACGAAGTCATAATAGTCCTAGTGGACCTACTGTTGTACGACTCATCACTGTTATGATACGGTAGTCGAAAGCTGATGATTTGACATGAAATATCCATCTTGTGCCAGATATCCCACAGATTCCCTTCTGCAGCCGGTTTTTGGTGAAAATACATAACGGCTACAGTTGTTGGGCATCATAGTGATTAAACACTAAACAAAAGCGAGTTTTCTTTTGCAACTAAATACACACAGAATCGGGGGCGTGCTCCAAGTCTGTACTGGGCAGGATTGACATAAAACTCTCGTGAGTGCCTAGTACAAAGAGTACTCTTTGTCTGACTCTATTAATTCTATTAGAGTCTCTATCTACTATTAATTTCATTTCCGCCTTTACAAATACATTTTATATTCCTAGAACCACGCACAGTCACAAGATTTTGCTTATCTAGTCTTGTCTTTTACTGTTTCCCTATAAGCTAAACCATCTAGCTCTACCTTGAAGGCGTTGTCTAATGAATATCTTTGCGTCAATGAAACATTTCTATAGTAATTTTTTAAAAGTATTCACTGTCTACTGAGCTGTAGAAGTTCTGTCGACATGTGCTCAATGACAAATCCAATCGCTAGGCAGCGATTTCGCTCACTCGAAAAGATATAAACAGCATCATCACATTCACCCACTACATTTCTTGCAGTCATCAAATCTTTGTTGGCTAACTTTTATGTGGTAGATTTTAGCTGTTGAACTCACATACGGCTTGAAATACTGTCGTAGCTCACGCCGATTACTATTCTTAGCAATAAAGCATTATGTATTAGTTATGATGTTAACCTTTCATTTCCTGCCTATTATAGTTTTTCACGGCAGTTTTAGGTAGAAAGATAGCGAAGAGAAAAGCAAAGCAAGGGCCTCCGTGGTGCGGTGTGTGATATACGAGCCCCTGGAAAGTGGGACCATGGTTTGATCTGGCTCAGCATCGTTGTGGTTGTATTAGTTATGTAAAGGTTCAATTACCTAAGCATGAGGTCCGAACTGCGGCAGTCAGAAATGAAGGCCAGCGTAGCAAACTAGAAGAAAAGCATACATCACACGAAATAGTCCAGTACACTTAGACATACTCATTAAAACGTTCATGGGTGTGCCCACCGACATGTGAATTGCATAATACATGCGATTTTATTCAGTCTCAAGAGAGCGAGCAGCACATACATTGAAAGTGGTTTGGATCCACCTCCGACAAATCAGCGCCTAGTCTAATTAGAAACTCAGCAATTACTCGTATTTATAAACATCATAGCTACGAGTACAACAGCTTACTTTACTAATTTATCGTCAAATCAAAAGAGAAATGAATAGAAATATAAACTTAACTCGATGAGACATTTTGGGACAGGACTACTACAATGTTGGCTAAAATCTCAAACCATTCCTGGCTATGTGAATCTGGAAGGACAACCACTCACGCAAATCTCGCAACACTGGCTTTAAAATCTGACTGAGGCGGTTCTGATGACACACGCCAAAAAGATTAACTACAACGGCAGAAATGAAGAAAGACCGTGAAAGCACTTTAAGACTCCAGTTAGTTTGTGACCACCTTTATGATATGTACAGCTTATGGTCCAAAAGATCCGAGCTGGTGCGAAAACGTGGAATCATATGGGTCATAGGCAGCCGCAATTCACGTCTGCACCTGCGAAACGATGAAGAACGGCGATGGAAGAAGACCTCAAACAGAGAACAGCAGCAATTATGGTCGTAGCTCCAAGAGCTGGGAAACGCATTCATAATGTCCACCGAAACATCAACAAGTTGCAAAATCAAGATGACTACACTTCGACCCCCGTATGGAACAGTTATAGTTTCCAAGAAGGGAATACCAAAAATCATTCACCATTACCACTCAGATCTCTTAAATAGCCACACACTCTTTCCCTCACATGAAATAGAGGAAGATGGTTATGTCGTACAACCGGTTCTTCCGGTGATAGGCTTTTGTTACTACTCGTAAATATTGAAGAGCATTGAAGACCATTGAGGACATCGTAAAGAGAAAAAAAAACACCCAACTCCGCGGCCACCTTTTCGACTCCACGATTCTCCCTGCCTTAACGTATGCACCAGAATCCTGGACGTTATAACATGCAGGATGAAAGATCCCTCATCGTTACGGACGCCAGTAGAGAGAACGATGCTAGTAGTTTCCGCATCAAGCATATGAGGGATGGGATCCGAAGATCCGACTTGCGTCAGCGATCAAAAATCGAAGATTTCGTTCTATATGCCAAACTGTCGACGGTGAGGTTGGCCAAACACCTAACGCATACGGACGAGAACCGAAGGACAGGAACTGTTAGCGACTGGATTCCTCGTGATGTGATCCGCTTCCTCAACGCTCTCTCCGATCCACCAGGAAACGCTTCAACTCAGCTTTCTCGAAGATTGCACGAAGAACAGACTCGATCAGCGTTCTACGATCTCATGAAGAAAACGAAATCCTTAAGCAGGAGTGGAAACAACACGCGAAATTTTCGACGACCTCTGTGGACGATAAATGCGAAGAAAAGGAATCGAATGCAAGAAGTGCTGGGATCCCCATAGTAAATGTGATGGCAGACCATGCAGAATAAATAAACAATAAGATTTACTACAGTAATATCTCGCCTACATGTTCTCCGCACACTGCTACTGCTTTCCTCAAAGAAGTAAATGTACAATGTGGAAGCATTACCGCTTCCAACTCAACATAGGTAGGCGTCCGTAATGAACTTAGTGAGGTTTTCGGGACGTTCTCGCCATAAATTTTTTCACGTCCACGAAGAACTTCGCTTTATTTCAGTTTGCAATCACCTGCAATGCGACGAGAAAATGAAAAGGGACACCTAATGAAGGTTTTTCCTACTCAACACGATGACCATGCTGCGATATTTTTGCACCTATCGTTCTCCTTTCAGTTTCATATGGGCGACCACAGGCGTGTGTTGCGCAGTGGTTAAAAGTGCCCTGCAACACACACGTGGAACCGATCCCCACGCTCATGGCTCTCCAAGCCTTCCGTCCCATCGAGTTCGGCAAATTGGTACCAAACCTGTCTGGAAGGATAGCAGTATCGGCCCGATACATTAGTAGGCCACTACGGGACATTGTATAGGCTATATATGAATTCGATCACTTGTGACGAGGCTTAGT